ATCGGTCGATTGTGAGCTGATCTGATGGGCTCTCTTCTCTTTGTCTGGATGAACGGGTTTGGGCCGGCATTCAAGTGATGGTGTGCGGTCCTTGGTTGTTGTCTTGATACAGCGGAATTTGACCAATCTCAGGTGATTCTAGGAGATATCAGGTGACTCTGAATATCCAGTAACCAACTGATTCCTTTGATTGATCAAGCAGAGCTAGCCGGGCTCATAACTGTTGGAACCACACACCACACTAGTGCCCAATTGAGAAGATTGATGGAATACCAATCAATAAGTGGATTAATTGAGGTCCGAGGTCTGACCTCTCAAGAAGAGAAAAGAGGGGGGGTGGGTATCCCCAACTCTACATACATATGCCAAGGAATCAGTGGCCCCTGTTATCTCATATGACTCATGTCACATGATGCCAGGGCACCCATGTCCTTCTGTCCAAACACTGATCAAGTTTGATGTACTAGCAATGCGCGGCTAAAATCCCCTACCCCTTTCCACCTGATGTTTGTTGATACCTGAGGCAGTGTATGCTTAGTCATGCCCAGTCATGTGACGACTCTCCAAGTCTTTTCTGTTTTCTCTTTACCGAGGAGGTAAGGTACATAATCAGATCCATCTATACCTCGGTATACCTTACTTGCCAACATATTCCTTTCTAGCGGTTGAGAGGTCAAGCGGTATCTGCAATAGATCAGAATCTTCTTTGAAGATGCCGTGTCACTCGATGAGCTGTATTGATGAGCGAAGACTATGAACTCAAACAGACTTCCATCCCAAACACAGTTGACACTTGACAGGGTGGCTGATGGGATTTTTTTGTATCAATGGAATGCGATTCTATCGAGGACTACTCTAGAGGTGGCGTGTCTAGCGACTTTAGCGACTTCAGCGACTTCAGCGTCTCCAGCGAGGAGAGGAAGACGGGGAGACGGGAGGACTCCATCTTTTGGTGGCGACGACCCAAGCGACTCTGGGATCTCCTACCTCCTACAGGTACATAGCTATGATTCTCGGATTCTGGATGCACTACCTACCGAGAATCGTAGGAGGTAACAGACTTCAACAGCTGAGAATCGGTGCCAGACCCTCTCTTGAAGCATTATATGCGTCACCGCACTCGCGGATCATCTCGTATCGCCGACATCAGTCCGATCTGCTACCTACTTCCTACCTTACCTACGTAAGGTATGCTGTGCAGCGAAGACGACATTCAAGCTGGTCCCAGACTCCCGTCCATGAAACTTTTGCTATACGGCGTCTTTACAGCTCAAAAGTAGGAGGCGTATAGGGCGGTCTGGGGGAGTTCTGGTGTGTGATTTGATGCAATCCTGGTTGCGTGAATACGGTTCTCGGAATGGGGTTTCGAAAAGTCTGTTTCACACACCGATATTACGACGACTGTCACCTCTTGCAGGCTGTCCCAGATTGCAGCTCTTACTTGCCAGTTGCCATCTATGACACGAGCCATCAGATGAGCCATCAGACGTCGTCCTCCAATCATCTTCTTCTCTTTCGCCACTCGCCGCACACCGATGGCCAAGGTTCCCCTCGCAGCGCACTCCGTAGAGTCCGTAGGGGGTTCAGCTCTACAGGAGGGATCCCCCATTTGAGTGGCTGAGCAGCAAGCAGCACAGTCTTCTCCTTCGCCACTAGCCGTGTTCACACTCGCTTTGTACTCTGCTGATGTTTCTATATCCATCCGATACAACTACGACGACGACAATATACTACGATCGACATGTAGGAGGTATCGTATATGGATGTAAACAGTAGAGTGTCGATCATTCTTGGCAATGGCAACCAGTAGCTAAGAATAGGGTCGACGACTCGTGATGGCCCGTGACGATCGTCAGTCTATCCTCTTTTCCCGCGAGACCCGACAACCGACGACCACCCGGGCAAGGCTATAGCCGAACACGAGCCGGGACTGACGTTTGACTTTCCAAAATAGCCCTCCAACACCTATTTGCCCCATATCCATCAGAAGACTGGATCGCTTTGACTCTCGAGCTCTCGTGTTAACGTGGCAAGGCTGACAGGATAATGTAGGTAGAGTAGGGTAGGGCAGGGTCAGGTATGGTAGGAGGTAGAGAGGGATGGTAATAGTAGGTAAGCCAAGGCAAGGTTCAGGTACAGTACCTATATATCCTCCTACCTGGTCTACCAACAACAACTCCATCTTCACACCTCATCTACACACATACTCACTCCAACACTACACTACACTACCCATTCACCAACAACAACAACAACAACAACACCGGCAAAATGCAGTACTTCACCCTCGCCTCCTTCGTCGCTCTCGTCTCTCTGGCCACTGCCGACGACGGCCCAGGTCCTACCTTCACCATCTCTCCCTACGGAAACGGGGACACAGTCTGCAAGGCCTCCGCTCTCCTCGACCCTCCCGGGCAATTCATCGTTGGCCCAGGAGATGTCGGCACTAGTCGCCAGTTGCCCTTGGACACTGTAAGTTCATACCTCACAAGTGTGACTTTTATTGGTCTGACTAACAATTCCTTCTTCTTTACCTCGTATACAGTCCGCCGTTGGCTTCTTTTATGACCCCAACTCGTCGCCTGCTTACAAGATTGACTATTTCGTGAACCCCATGTGCAACGGTCTCCCTGACTACACGTGAGTTTTTCCCCTTTTTTTCGTTTTGTCCTTTCTCTATCTTTTTCCCCCTGTTTTGTGCTTCTACCTACCTACCGTGAAAGAGAAATGGATTGCTGATTTTGATGGATTGACGGGAGCAGTGAGTACCCAACAATTGGCGAATCAGGCTGCTCGGTTCCTGCCGGTGCGCCATGGACTTGTTTCCAGATCAACGCTTACCCACCTCCATCTTGAGGAGGAGAAAGGGGGGAGGGAGAGAGAGAGAGAGAGAGGAGGTAGAAGAGAGAGGAGGAGGGAGGAGAGAGAGAGTGAGTGAGTGAGAGAGTGAGGAGGAGAGAGA